TGCCAACTATTTGCATGTAAAATCTGTATGTAAAACGTTCTTCCAATATGGGATAATGTTATCTTACAGTATGGGGGCAATGTTTAATAAACAAAAAAGCGTAGTCACCAATGAAGGCGTGTCTAATCGCTCGTATTGTCTAAATGAAACGGAAACAGTGCAACCGCGATTCGTATCGTTAAAAATTGCCTCACCATGAATAGAGACATCCCAGAGGTCAATACATTCAAGATAAGGCGTCTGTGAAAGGTTTGTTATTGAGCTAGTGTTGACCACCTCCGGCTATGCCACTCACCATTATTATATCTAACATAGCATGGCATTTTAGCTACTTCAATACTGCTGTACTATTTCGCTGCAGTATTTCATATTAAATTATACAAAATGACGAACAATACGGAAGATAAAGAATTGTTTTTTTTTTTTTTAATTTAAATAATATTTAAAGCTATCTAGCCTTCACTTGCGCAAGAACATTAAGTAATATAAAATATAAAGAAATTATTATTTTACAAAACAGACGTTTAAACTTAAATTGAAAAATACTAAAGGAAAAATAATCGTTTTCATATCAGAAAAGAGTTCGCATTTATGTCTTAGCACATTGATGATTTTAATATAGTCACCATGACAAGATCCTGATGGAATATATATAGGACTGAGCTAGAGAATCTAATTTTTATTTTCATACTAGCTGCTGCCCGCGACTACGTCTGCGTAGAATAGGCTGAAGGCGTAACATTCAGACAGAAAGACAGATATACATAAAATATGTATATAAATTATAGCCTATGTCTTATTCTGATGTATAAGCTATGTTATTGTAAAGTTTCATTAAAATCCATTCAGTAGTATTTGCGTGAAAGAGTAACAAACATCCATCCATACATACAAACTTTCGGGTTTATAATATTAGTAAGGATAACAATCTAGAAAATGTGTTATAGAATTAATAAATTACCGAGTAAACATTGTAGATAAACTGAGTCTTGTCCTGTAATGAAGTCTGTTAAAAATAACGTTCTCCTTATAGTATTTATCAATTTTATTAAAGACAGAAACAAGATCACTTAATAGCTTAATCTTGTGTGATTGTGGGTGTTCCGTATAGCTGTGATCTAAAAAAATTGCGCAGGATTGTGTATGTAAACATGTACTTCGTTGTATTAATCGAGCAATCAATAAGTAATCATGATGTACAGGATGTGACATAGCTTTGCACTTGCAGAAATTTAAATGAATTTTTATTGTTTTTTTAGAAAAACAAAAATATTTATCGATCTAATATTTACAAGATTAAATCTATCTAAAATTACATATTATCTAATAAACCTTATTTAAATTATAAACAGCGCTTAAATATCCAACACATAAATAATGGCTGAAGATATTTTCTATTTTTTTTGAAATTTAATTTTTTTAGTGCTAATCTCTGCACTTAAGATTTTCTACAAATTCTAATATTTATTTTTTTAACTCAAACAGACGGTCTGTTCTCTAATCTACTGGAATATATATAGGACTGAGCTAGAGAATCTCATTTTTATTTTCATACTAGCTGCTGCCCGCGACTACGTCTGCGCAGAATAGGCTGAAGGCGTAACATTCAGACAGATATATAAAATATCTATATAAATTATAGCCTTAAGTCTTAAGCGAGTGCCGTTTTGTGTTTGAACTTGGGGATCTCTGCTACGGGATCGGGCGTTAGCTAAAGTTGACGCTGTTGATTCCCCAGAAGGCTTCCAAATCGCTCGACTGGTCCTAGCCGAGATCGGCGATAGGCCACCCACGCGCGGCCTTGGGCAAGCGCCGTGCGCCACGCCACCTCGCCGGATGTAGATGCGAATACGACCGGCGCTGTTTAGGATTCTGCTCATTTGAATTAGAGAATAGACGTATTTTTATGGGACAAAGTGGTAAAAGAGCTGCCGGGTCATCTGATGTTCAAAGTCAAAGTCAAAATTTGTTTATTTAACATAGGGTTTAAGTAAGTGAAAGTCTGTGCCATTTTGTTGTAAGGGCCACTTCTACTTATCCCAAAAGATTTGGAATTATATTTCATGAAACTAAATTATCGCTTATTTAATCCATACAAAAAATATTTTTACCAGTTTATACATTTTTAAGTGCTATAATTTATATATATTTCGTTGCATATTCATTTCATTCATTCATTCGTTTATATATGACACTGGATAAGAAAGAAGAGGTTTGCAAAGTTTGTAGAGAGTTTACAGCCAACAAAACTTGGCGGTGCGGCAGCAATTTTAAATTAAATTATCTCCGAATCACGCTGTTAATCAGTACAAGAAACATAGTTATGATTTTTTAGAGTTCAGTTCCAGAGAATCTTTACCGTTCGTGTTGGTTCGTTCGCTCCTATTTACATATTAAAACGATATACGTTTTTGGATCACGGATTGTGTGAGGGTCATTCACACTGATACGCAATAGTTGCAAAAGTTTTCAAGACTTTATTAATCGTATTAACTTACAAGCGCAAAAATTCAACTCCATGCGCAAACAAAACCACTCTAAGGAGAAATTTAATTTCCATAAAAAATAAATTACATCGTCTGCAACAAGCGTAGACTTTGAAAACAGATATAAAATGATGACATATTACGGACTTCCTTTGTAGATCCGGATAGATTACTTCAAGCAGAAATAAAGTATTAAAAGTCGCACTAATTGAAATTAAGATAAATGCTATAAACTTCATCTTCGCATAACGTATTTTTCTTCGTGTATATATATGTGTTGTTATTATCTTCTATCATTATTAACTATTTATTATATGTATATTTACTTATATGTTATATGTATATATATATATATATATATATATATATATATATATATATATATATTAATGTTTATATTTATGTGGGGTATGTTATACGAATATCTGGGTGCACTGAACACATTTCTAGTTACCTTCACTCACTTATTTTCTCACCAGGCTAGCTGGCAGAGAACTCATGTATTGAGTTAAGCTTACCTTTTGTACATTATTTTCATTTTCACTATTTTTTTGTATTTGTGTTTTGTGTACGATAAATATATAAATAAATAAATTATTCAGCGAAATTCATAGGAATGTATTTGGATAATTATCCTTCAAGATAGCAGCCACGTTCTCACGAGATGTATGACCGTTAATGTTGCGACTACGAAAAACATTTTGAAATCTGCAGTTAACTTATTAAACATTAATTGCATGTAGTAAATTTTCCGACAAAACTGTAATTCTACTATTTTTTTTAATTATATGAATAATAATAAAAACATACTTTAATTCTTTCATTGATATGTCAGATAAAACGTTCAAACGCTAAGCATTCCTTACAAGCTTCACTCGCATTTATCGAGTTAGGGCCAGCATTAAGAATTAGCGGGGACTGGATTTAGTAAAGTATTTTAACGAGATGTTCTTCAAACGCCAATTCTCCCCCTATCTCCTTCGACTGCATCTCGCTTTAGATAGCGGCTCCACGCCTTTGTGGCAACCGCCGCTTACAACGCATGATGTTCTGATAACGCCGCCCAGCGCAAGACGGGGCTCCTTTATCAACGCAGATAACAATAAGAGCGAGCTATAATTAACCGTTTCCCAAGCTGCGGTGACCCCATTGCCGTATTCAACTGCATATATTTGCTATAGTATTGTGAACGCACATTTGTAAAGTAGTTATACTTTACATCCATGTTTCCGCTGATAGCCAAAGCCTTCTCTAGAAAATAGAGGATGTTAAGGTAGCCCGTCATGCCACTTTGGTGTAGAATGGTAGACTTATTACTCTGTCCACATGATTTAGATTTTCTCGCGATGTTTTGTTTCACAGACGAGCACGTGCTAAGTAAGATTTGATCGAGCAGTCGTTTATAATTTTACCGCAGTTCAAATCCTGGTGCCAGATTTATCTGTGGTAGCTAACTGTGGTACCGCTGTTGCACCAATGTAGGCTCATCCGGAGAAGTACCACGCTTCTATTGAAGGCCTACGTGAATTAGATTCAAGAGTTGTAGATTCGTATTGATGGCGGTAATAACCTAACATCAGTTGAACCGACAGTGCATTTGCCACCTTTTCACATAAAAAAAATCCTGTATCCTGAAATTCAATTGATTCAGCCGAGAGAATAGGATGTTCGATGCATTTAGAATATTTCCTGGCCCTTAGAATGAAATATCGTGTGATACCATCAGTTTTTTCTACACGGTTAGTGTCAGATCCTGCATTTTTACTTGTATGGTGATCCATATTTCCGACTTCCTCATTTTGCAGCCAGTATAGGCCACCACCCACCACCACACATTCTAAAGAATATTTCTCAAGTATTGTCAAAACATGCAATCCGCTCGATCATGGATCTATTGAACAATCGGAACCTTCGATTCGTTTGCTCAAGTGTTTCTCAAAAGAATGCAAGAGCCAAAAAACTTTTACCGTGTGATCTTTCGAAATTTTCACACTTCATAAAACTTGTGATATTGCGTTAGGCCTAGAATTGTGCCGTGTTCAACGTATAGGTAGATACAATTGATGTTTTGCAACGGTATTATTTTGGCTAACACGAAATCGGGTGTTGTTAGATTTCGCCGTGGATCTAGGATAGAATAGGGCTAAACTTCGCTTCGTGGTTCCCTATTTTTGAAGTGAAACCTCCAATGCGACTTCCAACAAGGTTGCGTTAATCGTTTAAAGCTACCATGGAGGGGGAATAGAAAGAGACAGAGCGAGGGTGAATGCGTGGCACTCGAAGTTTCACTTCTTCCGCGCGGAGGGACTCCACGTTTTTTTAATCCTAATATCTTCTTTTTTACCAGATGATTTATTTGCTTTATTTTAAGTATTCTTAGTATTTATCTATGTAGGATAACGTTTTCGATTTCAATATTTATGCAAAGCTTCAGTAGTGATATGTTTCATATAAATCCATCGTCACATACATTTATAATCATTTTTAAATTGTAACACATGTTCCTTGTTTCAGGTTTCAACGTGAATACAACTTAAATACAGTGGTGTAGTGTTCTTTATTCAACGACTCAACAATGTGATGTGAACCGATACGATTTGGCCCTTAGCAAGTTCTGTGTCTGTGTGAGTTCTGTGACCATGGTGTGATATTAACAAGTGACGTCACGGGATCAAAGTTGGTAAGTTACATTTGATTTATCGATAGAAGTAAGGTAAAGTAACAGTCTTTTGTGATAATAAAAGGGAATTTACAATTGACAACGATCGTTATTGTCTCAGTTGTCTGCGAATCCTTAATCTTTAACTATACACGAAATTTTGTTTATTAGAAATTTATGCATAAAAAATCCACAATTACAGAAACCAAACGTATATCAACTTTTTTTTTAGGAATTTCGCCTTTAATGGTAAAATACTTGCAACCGCGAGATAAAAAAGTACTTAACACAAAATTGGAAAATAAGCTCTTTTCCGTTTATTTAAAACGAAACTTTATTAAAATTTTTGTTAATAGCCAAATTTTTTTACAAGTAGGTGTTGTTATTTTTGTCTTTTTTATTAATAACGAATAAACTCTATCTCACGTGGAAGAATTATGAAATCAATTGTTTTTTAAATAAGTAATAATGGTTAATGCTGCCGTCGCGTCCAATTTTCTAAGAAATTTCGCCCGTCTTTTTTGCTACGAGGTGATACCTACGATAGCGGAACAGCAGTTGTCGCCTTTATACAGCCTTTAAACCATGTCGTCTTTATTGCTATTTAATATAAACTCTGGTATTAAAGCGTCGGATAAACTGACCCATTTGTGCACCAGTAAAAGCTGCTGTGTGGTCGTAGACCAGGGGTCAACGTTTTTGTCATCGTGCATAATCGATGTTTGGCCGTGCGTTAGCTCCTTAGGTGTACGTTGGAGTTGTTCGAGCGTTTAATTGCCAATGTAAAGAGCCGGCCTTTGTTAAGACACGACAGTTATTTATTTAACACACCGTCAGCGGTCTTTCAAACTGACATGCGTCACCGTTCGCGCATCCGATTGGGAAATAGAAAATTATTTCATTCTTCTCTTGGGAATTAGAATATTTCTTTCTTCAATTATTGGAGCTACAAAGTGATTAATCCATATATTCGTCCGTTCTCTTTGATGTTTAAAAAGGACTACTGATCCACCTACAGGGAGTTAGAAAACTGCTTGTTCATATTGCCGTTGGGAGCTAGGAGGCCACGGAATATTTATGTTTGTTTTAAGTTATTATGAACGTAACAATGCACCGCACATTCATTCACTGTAATTAAGAGGAGAAGGAGCTATATACATGGAATAGTTCTTTTACTATTAATTGCTAGAGCACCATTTACTACTATGATTTTTATCAGCACTATGTAGTGCTTTGAAGGAAAGTATTTTCAATGGTATCTTGCAACAAAATGAAGATTAAAATAACGTCCCCAGTAGGCAAAGCAAATTTAAGTAGAGCGAGAGGAAGATACCGATCTAGAGCAGCTCATGGCGTTCCACAGGGTCCGTGCTTGGTACCATGAGTTTTGCCATCATTACGCCGGTTGCGGAGTAGGCAGCAACCTTGCGCCGGGCGAGAACATCTGTTCAGGGGAATGTGAAGGTGGGTTTCGCAAGCGCTGTATAAGGCGAAACGGGTCATTGCCACCCGTTCCGACCTCAGCGCGCACATGCTCGTCAAAGTGGCGCCAACTGTGTTGCGGCGTTCCGCGAGATAAATCGCCTGGATTTGCGTGCCTTCGCCGGTCACACTAAAAGCCTGATCGAGCTTGGGTGGAACCCTGTCTCTGTTATCAACGGAATGTTACAAAGTATCACAAAAATATGAGAAATATGTCAATAGTATAACACAACTGTGTATAGCTTGCAGCTTTTTTTTTAAAACATTGCCCAAACTGTTGGATAACATTATCTTGTGTTGTAAGGACGTTGTACATACATAAATTTCACGTGGACAAACATGCAGTTTGATAAATTCATTCTGTTTATTTCTTTTATGTATTTCATAGGGCAGGGTGTTTACCACAAGCTAAGCCGGAGTAAATCACATCTAATAATCTAATACTTTCACGTTTGCGGTCTGAAATATACAATCATATTAAAGAACCTTCGCTCATTATTTGGACAGTATATTGTGTGTATTATGCTATCCATTTTCCATTTAATTATTTCGAATGCTGCCTTATTAATATTTCTCCTTAAAACGATGAAAGCTTGATGAATAAATCAAACTTGTCAAGTAAGGAAGAAAACAATAGAGAAACTCCTCCATAATCTCGGCCCGTTCAGTGATTCAGCAAATACTATTATGTGGTACACAATATTAGGATGAGTCTTCATAATGTTGAGATGCGATCGAAGCCCACGTTGCCCACAATGCGTGAGTAAACAACGCAGCAGACTTTTGACCATGGCCTAGATTGTCAGCCCGCCGAACAGCATGTCACTGTTTATTTAAGGAAAAACCACGTAATAAAGTTGTTATTATCAATTCGCCGACTGTCGAATTGCGGTTGTAAATAAGTAGAAATACACTCGCGAATTTATCCAGTAAGTGGCGGTCAAAGGGCTATCTGTCCAGCAACTGAATCGATGCATCTGTTGACAAAGAAAACTCCAGACGAATGTATTTTATGTCGAGATCGATATGTCACAGCCTTTTCATCTCCTGTTTTGGTTTCGGTTGTCGAACGGACAGATAATTTTGAATTTTTGCGAGAAAGTGCGAGACGAAAAGGACTTATCCATTATAACTTCTGCATGCTTGAAGCGTAAAAGGATTGTCAGTTTTATAAGGGTTTGGCCAAGAGTGAACGGTCAGAAAGAATAAAAATTATGTAAAGATTTATTGGCTTATTATTATAGGAATTAGAAAAAATAATAAACCTTTGTATGCAGGTGAATAAAAAGCATAATTTTAGGGAGTTTTTAGGATGATTTAAAATAAAAAATCCATTTTTTATATTTTTATCATCATATGTTAATAGAGTATGGTAAAGTTAGTAGGAACTGAACACGATTTACATGCTATCTCTCTCATAAACCATAGTACCGGAGAACCGAGCTTTGCTCGGTTTGTTTTTTTTTTGGTAAATCGTGTATTTTGGAAATTACATTTAGATACAAATTACTGAGTAATGAAATACGCATAATGTTTTTCGATCTTACCGACCTAATAATAAGAAAATATGAACTGATGTTTTCACAAAAGAAAGAACTTTAAAAAAAAAGGGAAAAAAATAACAAAATAACAAATTGACAAAAAATTAAAAATAAAGAAAGCAATGATCTGGAATCGAAAAAAAAGTAAAAAAATAAATGTGTAAATGATCATGACGCGAACCACGGCCGTCTGTTTTGAGGCCGCCCGATTACCGACCGAGCTATTATGACATTTTCTTTTGCGGCGAAATTTACCGTCATATTCGAATTATATTTTTCATTCCCTGAAAACAGGGATAAAATGACATTTTCTAAAAATGAAACCTAGCTAGTTCGATTTTTCGCCCCCGAATCTACGCACATACTAAATTTCATGAAAATCGCTGGAGCCGTTTCCGAGATTCCGATTCTATACATATATACAAGAATTGCTCGTTTAAAGGATGAGATTATAATAGTCATGACATTGACCACGATTATGCAAAGCACAAGACAATCATTTAAAACAGCCTCGTGACAATTGAAATTTTCCAAAATAAGGACATAAAGAAAAGGCTATCAAATGATTAGCTGTATTGTCATAAAAATAAATATGTAGATAAATCATAAAATTCATTATATTGACAATTGAAGCTGATGCGATTTGTGTAATATTAACACAATCGCCAATTTTTATGTTATTATTTAAATATTAATAGTTTTTACCACAATAATTTTTTTATTACATCGATTAAACGTATGTTACAAAAAACGTTGTTAGTCTTAGTAATGTTTTGTGTCATGTTTATGTGGTTATTTATGTTGGTAAAATATCGTCAAAATGCGCATGAGAAATTATAAATACATATAACTTACATATTGACGAAAGATTTCAGTTGTGTAAGTTAATACAACTCTAACTAAAAAATATTTGAGTTTTAATTAAGTATGTTTAATTATTTCTAATTAAACATTGCTTCTGAGCATTCTGTCCACATCGTCGGGCCAAAAATGGAGTCCATTTTTCTTTAAAAACAGAAGAGACAACAACCTTTTATTAATTTATTGTAAACTGTAATTTGAGCGAGCGCATGTGTTGGCGACAGTTAATGTAATCAAAATAATCGGAGGTATAATAGAAAAAATTCTAGGTTAAAATGTATACTTGTTTATTACTCATCGGTTATTATAGTAAATTCCTAGAATAAAATTTTTTAAACAATTTAAATTTAACTGAAGTTTTTTTTAATGTTCAATCTTAAGTGCAGAGATTAGCACTATAAAAAACTTTAAAATTTATTTACTTTAATTAAAATAAAGAATACTTGTACAGAAAATATAAAGTCAAAGCTATAAATATAAAATTACGAAGGCTGATTTAAAACAAATTTGCCAAAATCGACAGATTTACTAGGGATTTCGAATTCGTCATGCTCCAATTTATTTGACGTTTTGCACGTATTCTGGCAAGCCAAATTTATGACGTCACCACACGCTAAATTACAAATATTGTCGGGCTTTACGCCACCTCAATTGCTTACGTTCCGACTGACAGTGGCTCAGTAAATTCAAAGAAACGAAAAACGTAATAAGTAAGTAATGCATATAAGAAATTATTTACAAAATGTTTCATCATTTTATAAATAATTTCTTTGAAAGAAGTCCTTACGACTATAAAAGGTCTGGTCGGAATGAATATTGTATTTTTAGTCTAAATTGCGTGTGGTTGCTGATATTAGAACTGCATAATAGTGATTTTTTTAAATATTTTCGGAGGGTGATCGGTGTCTCTCGGCACTAGCGTTGTAAACTAAGTAATATCAATTAAACATATAAATGTATATAAAAATGAAGTTAATGAAGTCTAATTCAAAGTTTTCAAATTGGCTTTGATCTGAACAGTCTACGTTTAGAGAAGGAGTTGATGGATCTTTTCCAATCCGATGAAACAGCGATGAAGGAATCTTTTTAATCAAATAACTAAGGACGAGAGGATATAATGAGCCAGATTGATAGGGAACATTTAGACATTCAGTTTGACTTGGTGCAATATTTTCTTGGTACTATCAGTATGCAGTCTACCCAAACGCTTGGCGGGGTGGTCTAAATTTTCAAGTGTCGGCGATTTGTATACTTCGCAGCATCCATGTTCACGTAGGACCAACGTGTTTAACATCCTAATATGGTCAAATTTGGCTCAATATTTATTGAAATCTGGATGCTATGGTGTTCCAATCGTCACCTAGAGAATTTTAAATTTACTGAAACTTTATACAATCGGTTAAGACTGTTAAATGAACAATCATTGTTTTTATATTATTCAACCGTAAAGTTTATAAATAAAATTCCATTCACAGTGGAACAATTTGTTTCTGAGAAGCCTCGGTACGCCTGCCTGACTATTTTTAGTCTAAGTTCGCGTAGGCAGTTTTACTGAGTCACAGCCTCCACTGACCGTCCTCCTATCGCTGTGATGACTGTATTGTCTTTTTGACAAATTCGAATGAATAAAACAGGCCCTAACGCGATTTGACAAAGTATAACGGATTTTTCGTAGAAAGGAATTAAAAAATTATCACTTATCCAAATAGAGAGTGAAGGTTTTCTAAATAAAAAGAAAAACGATTACTTTATAAAAGAAATTGATGCCGGGGTATTCTATGTATTGGTCATACATAGAAAAACCTACTTGTTGACACTTACCAGATGATTCGTAAAAATGATGGTTGGATGGCTGTATGGATTATATCATTTATATAGCACATTTAAGGTATATATCCTGAGATCTAGGTGAATCACGTAGGTTCTCACGGTAGAAAGAAAACTAATGAAGTAGAAATGCATAGTAAATAAACTACATCGTAGTAGAAGTTAACTTAAGAAATAAAAAGTACAGAAACAGTTGACGTTAGTTTTCTCTCCTATTTCGGAGAAAAGATTCATTAGCGAACAAACTTGTCAGAGAAAATAAAATTTAATTAAGATACATCGGTATTTCTACCCATCAACAGATAAGCAAAAACAATTTTTTGTCAAATAACTAACACTCTCGCCAGTTTGTCTATGTAAGTAATAGTACATTGAGCAACTGTTCAAAAATTGCAGAGCTTGTATTAGAAATACACGCACCATATTTTTTATTAATTTTACATGATCTTTATATTTGAAAATAGAGTTAGAAAAAACGTTAAAGAAAAATAATTGTTAATAACATAGGACGAAATGTTTTATCACGACTATGGAACGGAAAAAATAAATAAATTATATTATTAATATTAAATGTCTTCATGAAACTCGAATGTTATTGAAGCAGGTAAGACTGAATTTAAAAAAAAATATTTGCGACTAAATAAAACGAAATAAAATATTACTTTAATATAAAATATCTCAATGCTTATAAAGTCCTTTTAATTCGAAACATATTTTTTATACTGCTAACATATGCGGGTTTCCTAACCATGTTTTCTCAAGAGATCATGATCTAGTTTTAAAAAAACTTTAAAAAATTCAACTGAAGATCTCTGTCTTACAAGAAGTACTTACGAGTAATACTATGTTTAATTTGGCTTCCGTATGTTTGTGTCCGCAAAATGCTGAAGTTCTAACGGAAACGAAATAAGAAGCCACAGAGCCTATATAAAAATATGTGAAAGAAGCGGAGAGTATACTCTGTGTGTCTGTGTCATTGTCTATGTTATCGACTCTTGGTGAAATTATTAACCGATATTTAACGAAATAACATGACAACTTTTTGTTAAAAACAGATATCCTTAGAACCGACTCGCAAATATTTTTGTTGACAACGTTTAGGCGTTATATTTTATTGATCAAAACTACATGTTTTTATCGATGATACGATAAAAACAGAAAATAATACATAAAATATACAAAACATATAAAATAATTAACTAATTTCTATACGAAAATATGATTATTTTCATATAGAAATTAGTTAATTAGAATTTATTAGTTTATTATTTAGTAAATTAATACTTAATTAGTAAAATTTATAC